GTGCTATGCTAGAGCCAGCTCCCACTGGCTTGCTAGAACCACTTGTTAAATTTTCAGCATCTTTGTGAGCTGGTTGTTAAAACAACCATTATTAAAAATTAAATATATATGTATATATACACACACACGCACACATGCACACATAAACCCTTAAATAAATTACATTAAAAACAACATCAGTACTCAAAACTCATCATTTCTAATTATTTTATCTGTGCTTTGGCGGTTATTTACATCTGTTTTTGTCTGCATGATGTGCTACTTAGCGCATGTCTCTTTCCAGCTCTACAGTCAGGGAAGTCACACTGGCAGCTTGAATTTGCCATGGTGGACGTATTCACATCATGGAATCATCAAACACTATAGATCAAGGCTTCCGCCCTCCCCCAAAGAGCTGTTTCTTAAATATTTATCAGCACACCCTGATTTAAGGCTAAATGAGCTATCAGTTGAAAAGCCCGTGTACTTTAGCCTTTGATAAAAACCTGTCTAAAATACATCAGGACATTTTTCTGCCTGAGATGTGTAGGGTATGCTAAATATCATCGCTCCAAATGCTGAACAAAAGCTTTGATGCTTAAGATTCCTATAATGCTCAGAATAATCATCTTATACAAGATCACCTCTTAGGACATGTAAAAAGTCTATTGTTTCCAGGCCAATTTTGTATAAAATATCAAATCGTGAATTGTTTATATGAGCTTGGAATATTTTGTTTCGCCGCAGCTGCCACCGGTGACATGCCAACCTACCAGATCCGAGCTCCTACTACTGCTTTGCCCCAGGGAGTGGTGATGGCTGCCTCGCCAGGAAGCCTGCACAGTCCCCAGCAGCTAGCAGAAGAAGCAACACGCAAACGAGAGCTGAGGCTAATGAAAAACAGGTAAGATGTTTCCCAAGGAGTCAGCACCCACCTCTAGGACACGTGATTAATTACTATGGGACTTTTAAAAAAAATCGCACTCTTCCTAAGCTGTTTCTCCCAAGCTAAGTGTCATGTGGCGTTCTGTGTGGGTTTGTGTGTGCTCTGCATGCGATGCTAATTAGATTGTCTTCCAGTCAAGAGTTCTAGCCATGAAACCATTTCATCAGCAGCAAGTACATCCCTCTGTGTTGTAAAGGTAATGTCCAAAAGATACATTAATTTTTAAAATAATGATGGAAAGTCTTTATTACAAATATTTATCTGGTATTTGTAAAGTAGGCAATAAGTTAATTTTGTAGCTTCTTTATAAGCAATGTAAATCTGTGAGTTAAGCATTTTTAAAGTCTTTACATGTCGTTAGCTTTTACCTAACTTGGAATTTTGTTTTTTCTCTATTATGCTGAAATACATATTTATTTTGATAAATTCTAGTGAAGTGCAAATACAAAATAACAAAAAGAATTAAAATGACTCGTGGCTCCACCACTTAGAGATAACTACTGTTACAGTGTATGTACTTCCACTCTACTCTCTCTCATTTTCTCTTACTTACTCGTTTTTTTTGGAGATAAGGTTTCACTGTGTTGCCCAGGCTAGAGTGCAGTGGTGTAATCATAGCTTACTACAACCTTGAACTTCTGGGCTCAAGTGATCTTCCTGGCTCAGCCTCCTAAGTAACTAGGACTACAGGCACATGCCACCACACCCAATTAATTTTTTAACTTTTTGTAGAGATGGGGTCTCACTATGCTGCCCAGGCTAGTCTCAAACTCCTGGCCTCAAGTGGTCCTCCCACCTCAGCCTCCCAAAGTGCTAGAATTACAGGTGTGAGCCCCCATG